AAAAAAATTTACTAGCCAATGGCGATTATATTGCCAAGGTGTGCGTAGAGGGTTGAACTTGCGACACAAACACAACAGAACCGCTAGATTTAAATCAGCACAGCCAGCGAAGGATTGGATACAACTGTTTTGAACGAGCGCACCTTTTTTTTAACAACCAAAAAATGGCGGTTTCGTGGTCTGTTGAGGAAGTACAGACGTTCCTCTCGTTGATAGCAGAGGAGCGGATCCAGCAAGAGCTTGGAATAATCCCGACCTCTCTAAAGTGGTACTAAGCTGTAGTGGAAACGCAAACCGAGCCGAGCCGTACCACGCAGTGGAAAAGCGCCATTTGTGATGTAATTACAATTTGAATTTGTGAGTTCTTGGTTTTGGCTGGTGATCCTGTGCCTGCCATGCTCTCATTTGTTTATGCTCTCAGTAGATTTGACATGATTGATATTCAAGCAAATAATATGATGGAGGCAGCAGCACCTGGTGGTTTTGATAGACAGCGGCCACTCCACACCTTTATTGTAGTTAGGGCTGCACGATAAATCGCATGCGATATTTAACGCGCATCTGTATTTTTATTTCATCATTCTGTTTAATCAATCCTTCTAAGGATAGTGCTGCTTGAGAGTAACAGTAAAACATACCATGCGATGGTCGGAAGTTCAGTTACCAGGGATTGCATGAACTTGATTAAAGCACCAAGCTGTTTTGCATAAAAACATCATGCATAAATATAAGAGCAGTAGTTATAGGAAGTGTGTAAGTATAAATATGCCACCACCCTGCTCTCTTGATTTCAGGCATTCAAAAATCTGTCAACCAGTTGAGAGCAGTTGAAACTTCCTCTCTTGAGTCTTTAAGCCATATTGAGCCTGAACTTGCAAATGATCAGCCGAAGCTAAATTTATGCATCATCTTTGGTATTGCCAAAATTCTTTAACATTTGTCATAGCTTGAGTATATGTGCTCGTCTGTCAGTATTCAGCTTAGATTTGTTGAATTGGCCAGTCACTACTACCACCACCCACACTCCCAAACACCCTCATGAGGGCCGTGTGTTGGCGCGTGGTGTATTATTAGAGGGGATGTTGTGAGCAAGCCCCTCAGATTAGTGTCTGATCTGGGCCAAGGCTCACTACTGGTAATCAATGTGTGTTTGTGTGTGTATACATGAGATCAATGAAAGCAATCACTCTGACTCTCTGTATTGCACTATGTATTGCTTTGTGCAAACTGCAGTGAGCTGTTTTCCTTAGCACATCCTCCAACACCTTTAACAACTGCAGATGAGCTGAACATTTAGAGTTCGCCATCATCGGATAGTCTTGCCTGTTTGTGTTTGTTTGTTGCCTTTGGTAAAACCTTGCACTTAAAGTCGGCATGAAACGGAAGTTGCGATTGTCTTTTCTTCTCTACTGTGACGTATATCCGAGTGAAACGGCATCTGAAATGAGAGGGCGGGACTTGATTTCGTCCTTCGGGAATTGATTGGATCGTTGGAAGCTGGGGCGTTGCTAACAAAATGGAGGCAGATCTGAATGCCAGTTTGCAGTTAGTGGTGGGGGATTTCTCTCCACTGGATTACCAGCCGGCACCCAAGCATGAATAAATGTTTTATTTATTAAGGATGACAACGACGATCAACGGCACAAAACATGAGAGAGAGAGAGAGACTGCCTGAATGACTGAGCGCGTCCACCATCAGGTTAAGTCATATTTATGAAAAAAATTTGTTTGCGATGTCCTAAGAGTAATGTTGTCGTAATATCCTAATATCTTTTCAATGTTTAGGGGTAACGTACTCCCTCATGACTGGTGTCAGTGCTATAAAGTGAAGCATCAGCTTCAGCTTTTCCCCCTGTCGTTTATTCCAAACGTCACTGATGTCACTGCAGCTGCTGGCAGTTCCAGATAGCTCCGCCCTTGCGCCATATCTCGTGACCTGAAGAGGAGTTGTTTTGAGGGGGAGGGGAGGTTAACGTTTTTGATTAAAGATTACGAGGGCACATGAATTCAAAGAAAATAATGAAGTGCACGGATAAATTATTTATAATAAACACTACAGTATTCCATTAAAAAAATAAGAATTTTCCATTTTGATTTCATGGTGACTTTAATGCTTTCACCTAGCTGAGAGTGTCATTTAGATTTTAAAATACTTTCATCTTAATGTGCTTCGACAACTGTACGTAAGCCATTTGTAGGCTGATTTCTCCTAAGAATCTAAATACTCTGACTCTGTGGCACTAGCAAAACATTATGATTGTTTGATTCCTGACCAGCCTGACAACAGCAACATTTGCTCAACTAATTTTGTGTGGTTGGGGAGGGACTATCTGTTTGTCTGACCAATGGCAGATTCAGATTGTGCAGGAAGTCATTATTTTAGTTATTTTCAGTTCCATTTGGTGATGCTGGTGCTACAGAAATTACACATTTTAGTTTAAAATTTCCCCTCTCAAAATTTCTCAAACTTAAAACGTTAGTAAGTAAATGTAATTGAACCATTTGACGTCTTTGCGGAGTGTAAGTTCTGTGGTGGTTTCAAAACATCACTGTTTGACTGGGCAGTCCACCATGACAGCTTCTGGCTAGACCAGTGGCATGAGTTTGGGGGCGGGGATACTTGTTTGCCTAAACATTGGCAGTAGGAATATCCTGGAAACCTGTTTGGAAACAGACTCCCCCAATTACTTTTTTGGTTTTGCTAGAGCTGCAGAAAATACACACTACTACACCTTTCAGTAACATTTTCAAGTTCAGTAATCATTGCCAGTTTATAAACAATCTTATTATACAAAACACTCTTACTGTATTTGCACTGATCCTCCCATACAGTCTTCAACAATCTTTTCGGTTGACAGTTTAGTTTCAGAGAAAGATGACAAAGCACGAACAGTAGGATCAAGAGTGGTTCACACATGTGTGAACGAAAGAGAAAAGATGGATATGGAATCAGCAATGGAGACAGGAAGAGGAGGATGAAAGAGAGACTTAATTTACGCTGCTCTCGCTCTGTCTCTCTCTCTCTCTCAGCTGCTGCCCGCTGTCGTCCATCATGGCTCCTATGAGCACCATCTGCTCAACATTACAGCCACTGTTGCCTGGCTACCTGCTTTCTCTCTCTCTATCTCTGTCTCTCTTTCCTGTTTTTTTCTCTCTCCCTCTCTTTAATGTTTTTCTGTCATTTGAGTCCTTTTCTCTCACCCCTCATCTCTTTCTCTCTCCATGCTCGGCTGAGGAGTCTTTGGCTCACACACATTATCCGGCAGGAAGAAGGGAGACACATCTTTTACACCACTCATGATTAAGCCATCTGCAGAGAGAGCTGAAGGGAAAGGGGGGGATGAGGGGATCGTAATGAAAAAGAGTATGTAAGGCGGTGAGGGTGAAAGAAAAGAAAAAGAAAGGAGGTAAAGGGAAATGTGGAGGAAGGAGGGAAAGATGGAGAACGGAATGGAGACATGGGCACAGAGGTGGAAGAAATAGAGATAGATGACGACTCAAAAAGGGAGTGAGAGAAAGAGAATGAAGGAGTTGGGAGGGGGGGGGGCCAACACTGCCCCCCTCTGGCCTGTCCGGCGTTCAACACAGATACGTACGTGCTGATCGGCGCAGGTTTGGGCAGCATGACTGGTTAACAGAAGAGATCCAGCTGTATACACACAGATTTGCGCTCATTGACCGATCTGGTCTAGATTTATCTGTACAGTCTCCTGTGGCGTGTGCATGTTTGTGCTTCATTATTTATTCTGTTATAAGAGCATCGTGGAGAGCTGATTTAAATAAAATGATCGCTCCAGATTGGAGCATTGCGGTTAGTGAATGTGCTCGGGCACACTGGTGCTTGCGCGGATGATGTGAGTTTGAATCCAGTTTGCAACAGTTCCCCCCTCCTCTGCCTAACATTCTCTATCCTAGCTCTCACTGTTCCTATAAAAAAGTAGTAAAAGGCCTGAAAACCGTTACTTGTCGTCTCAGTTTAGTTTTCTTGGACGTCAGATCTTATAAGTCTATATAACACGTGGTCTGGGTCTCATGGCTCTTTGTTTTGGATTTCAGTTTATATTGTCTCAGACAAGACCACAGTCTGTTTCCAGTGTAGTAAAAGTAAATTTATATTACCTTAACCACTATTCAGAGGGGTATAAAGAGCTCCTATCATCTTTGGTGTTCCTTAAAATTTGCAAGTTTTTATTTTTGTTCATTAGGAAATGAATTTTAATGAAAGTGTTCCAAGTTTAATTTATGACATTGTAAAAATATATTCTACAGTTATTCTTGGCCAAAGTATTTTTGAAAGTCTCGGTATGGAAAGGACACGTCCATTTACATTATTGATGTTAACATTGTTTTTACTGCAGTATTACATTTAAATGTATTTACATGTGAAGTTTCTTATTCTCACAAAGGCTACATTTATTTGATCAGAAATAGAGTAAAAACTGTAATACTGTGAAAAAAATTTTTTTTTTCTTTTCTATTTTCATGTATTTTACACTGTAATTTATTCCTGTGAATAATAAAGCTGAATTTTCAGCAGGCATTACTCCAGTCTTCAGTGTCACATGATCCTTCAGAAATCATGCTTCTTATCAGTATTTTTGTGGAAACCATGATGCATTTTTCAGGATTTTTTAACGAATAATACAAGTTCAAAAGAACAGCAATTATTTGAAATAGAAATCTTTTGTGACATTACTCTAACATTCTTGTAACATTTACTGTCACTTTTGATCTGTTTAATGCATCCTTTCTGAATAACAGTATACATTTTTTTTTTTTTACTTTTGAACTGTAGTTTATGTAATATATATTGTTTAATTTAGTACCAATGAAGCCAGTTCCCAGAGATCAAATGACAATTCAACCTGAAAATAATCAGTTAAGCAATTAGAACAGTATTATGTGTTTTAGCTGTCAATAATTTAATGACTGAATAGATTAAATGAATCGTCTGTTATACAGAACACTCTCTGATCAGCTCTCTTTTCTTGTGCTTGTAGGAAGTTGTGGTTGGACTGCCGCGACAGGCTGGTGGAGTCCAGCCACCTCATGGAGGACCTGGGGGAGTGACCTCAGCAGGACCTAACGGGGCAGGGCCCGGCAGTTATATGCCCAATCCACAGCAGCAACAACAGGCAGCCATGATGAAGCAGATGATGGCTATGGAGCAGGAAAAGAGGGTCCAGCTCCATCTGATGGAGCAGCAGAAAGCACAGCTTATGAGAGAACAGAGACAACAGCAGCAGCAGCACATGCTGGCAGAACAGGTGATAGTGCTGGGCTTTTGTTTATACTCCTATGAAATAGTCACCTTTATGAGTGTGCAAGCAGCTGCTGACCCTTCGTGGCTTCTGAGTTCAGCTTTCTGTTCAGTTGTTTGTGATCATTGATAAGGAATTTTGATATTCATGCTTTTTTCTGCTTTGCTTGCTTTCTTTTTCCAGTTACAACAGCAGCAGCATCTCCCCAGACAGATGAGTCAGGCACAGAGGAATCCATACCCGCTCCAGCAGTTTCAAGGCAAGGCACACATACAAATACACAAAAAATATCCATGCCCAAACACTAAACACTTTGCCACTATATATAATGACCGCATTACTTTGTGGCCAAATGGCTTATGGTGTTAATATATAAGCAATGTAAGGACCTGAAGTAAATCTCAACTCCTCCTTTAAACCTATAAATGCTTTTCTCGATTTCAAAATGAAAAGAAATCATTTTCTCATTGACACTTTAAAGTCACAGAAGAGGAGCAGCGCAAGATGCCCAAAATCAAGTCACACAATTAGTCCGGTGCGTAGATCCAAAATCAACATGAAGCCAGAAATGACAATCCGCACACGGTTATATGCAGGGCTATAACCTCCTCAAAAATCTTTTATTTAATGCTTATTCAGAGGCCGTAAAAAAGTGCTAAACGTTTTCGAGACAAAAGCTCTTCCTCAGTGCCACCTTATTGACACTTTAAAATACTGCCTGGCCACTTCAACACCCAGTGCATCTGCCAGCATTTCTAATGAAGCAGTATAACACACACATCCATTCACCCAAACTAAAGTCTGTTGGAGTTACAATTTAATAAAATATTTCTTATCAACAGTCAAATCTGACAACAATATCAGAAATGTAGCTTCATAGGCTCAAATTATGCTGAAAAGCAGTATTTTTCAGTCATGTGTGTTAGGGCTGGAAGGCAGAAAATCTAAAGCTAAATTTTATTTAGATTTATAGCGAAATTTTTGTCTAATGCCTGTCAACATAATTTTAACATGTAATACATATGTGTTCATTGAAGCTCTAAGGTGTCGAACATGGAATTATTAATTTGATGCATAGACATCTGGAGATTTCAGTGTGCAGTTTATGTCATCATATACAATTGACAGTGATTCGCTATGCTTTTGAGAGTGTATCCTTATGCCATTTGACTTTAATTGAAACAAGTCTTTGATGTACTGGAAAAGTAATGAGAACATCAGATGTCAGTTAATATTATTTAATTGTAAATTATTTTAGGCACGTCCCAGGAGATGGCAGCAAGGAACCAGACACTGCAGAACATGCGCAACGCTCGACTTCTGCAGCAGCAGCAGCAACAACAGAACCCTGGGATACTGCAGATGACACCCGTCCAAAATTCGGGCGCCATGCCTTCGCAGGGTGACATGAGCATGGCCTATGGAGGCCAGGCAGGTACACAGACCGGGATGTACCAAGGTATGAACCCAAACATGGGCCAAATGCTCCAGCAGCAACAGCAGCACCATCCCAACCAGACCGGCATGTTGATGGCGCAGAGACAAGGGGGCGCCGGCGGGCAAGGGATGGTCGGCGGAGGCACTGGAGGCGGGTATGGGCAGGGAATGCTAATGAATCCGTCCCTCCCGCAGCAGCAAATAAAATCAGCCGGTGTTGCCCCTGGTGGGCAGCCGATGGCCAAAGTTAGACTGCAAAGCATGATGGGAGGCGGAGGCCAGACGTGGCAGCAGCAGCAAAACATGCAGGCCATGGGCGGAAGGACTTCAAATGACATGGTGGCGTTTAACAGTAACCCTGCATACGCCATGCAAGGTGGCCAGGCTCCAAGAATGGCCAAGCAACATTTCGCACAAGCGATGGGCGGACAGACTATGGTGGACCCGCGTTCGATAAACCCAGCGGCAATGGGTGGGCCGATGATGCCGCACATGGCAGGGCAACCAAGGACCAACCAGCCGCGGGGTATGGTGATGCCAGGCATAAACCAGGGTGTGCCCAACATGGCTGCTTTCGGACAGGGCCCTGCTCAGGGCATGCCGGGAACATCGGGAGGGGGTGGGCCGTACATGCCAGGGGGTCAGCCTCAGGGCTACCAGAGGACGTCCAGTCAGGACCTGGCATACGGTTACAGCAGCCAATCAGGGGCTGGGGCCGGGGTTTCGTTCGGCTTGTCAGATGGGACAGATTTGGATTCAACGGAAGGTTGGATGGAAGAGTTTTTCCCCAGCCAATAGCCTAAGGGATTTTTTAACAGGACAATTTTATGGAAAATGTGATTCGTTTTATTGGTTTTTTTTTTTTATTACATGGTCGACAAATCTAAGAAATATATTACATGTTGTGTATTACATGTGTGTGCTGTCACAATATTTAAACCAATTCCTCTCTGTTTGGGTTGCTTCTTGAGCAAGGATCCGGTGTTCTGTGTGGTGTGTTTTTTTTGAAGAAATAAGCATTTTGGATTTGATCCATTTCTGTCTTTTTTCCTCTTATATCCTTTCTGCTGGATTAAGGGCAAGAGGCACTGAAAACCTGCAAAATGACATTGAGAAAGATTTTATGGATGTTTTTATGTATTGTTTTTAGTTCACCCTTATTCTGACATCCTGTTCACGTATGAAAGAGTGTGTGAAAATATGAGGTGGGCCTTTGTCAACATTGGATCCCTATTCCCAAACCAAACAGTTCACCACACCTCTTTCTTCTCTTACATATCTTCTCTCTCTCCCTTTTTCGCTGCTCTTGACGTGTTCATCCTCTGCATTTTCTCTGCTTTGTGCTTGTGTGTGTGTGCTTGTGTGTGTGTGTGTGTGTGTTTGCACTATGAGCATCACAGCAAAACACATCAGACTCTGTGTGCTCTCAGTGCATGCAAGATGGATGCTCTGCTGTCGCTAGGCGACCGGTGTCAGTAGAAGAGTGAAGCCATGTGTGTGTTTGTCAACTAGGTGTTTGTTAATATTGCTTGAAGAGATTTGGCAGCTACAAACTTCTCCCTCCCCTCCCTAAAACTGTGAGAACGATGTTTTCTTTAGTCACAATGGCAGCTAGAAAGGAAACTAGGACATGAACTCATCAAGTATCAAAGTAACATTTATGATGCAATTTTAACTGCCCACAGACATTTAATCTGAGGCAAATTCAGTGTTTTAATTCATACATCTAGAAATTTAAACCAATATTTAAATGCTTCCCAACATTCTGTTTTTTTTTTCTCCTTTCTTTAGCTGAACATTATTGCTTGCGAACACTGGTTGAAGATATTTTAATAAGAAAAAAATACACCGTACATACTGTATTTACGCTCATGGGTCATACCACTTTTCATCTTTTATTTTACTCTTCAAATGACAAATATTTATTAGTTTCTGTAATGTTTAATTTCAATCATTGCACCACTTCCAGCTCTTGAACACACTGACACTCCTTTACCTGCTACACAATGGCTGACAGAGGAAAAACAAGCACATCAAGACTCCATCAAGCCAACTGTATTGCAGACAACTTTTCAACTCTTTCAAATGTGACAAAATTTAAACAAAAACAAAAATCGACTTAATTTGTTAATAAAGGCATTTTCTCTTTATTGGGAATATACATTTATTTATGACCCTGATTATGAACCATTGTTGTGAGTTTGTCAACTAATTTTAAATGAAGTCTCAAAATGTTATCTTACTAGCCAGACTTTAGTTTTCTGCTGTTTACCATGAGATGCCACACAAATAAGAACATCTATCTTTTCTGCTCTGTTGTGTGTTGCTACGGTATTATGGTATTATAGTCATGGTGTCTTTGTAATCAAACTCTAGTTTTATCGTTTCCACTCTCTGAAGAATGAACATGAATGTAACATTGTGACTGACTTGCCTTTTTTTTTTGTGAGAAATGTTTGTCTTAATGGGAGATTGAACGCATTCACATCTTCAGTGTTTTGCAGTGTTATGTTGCTCTGTCAAGAGGATTGCAGATGGAGAGGGTAAAGCCCACGTCCTCCTGCCGTCTCACCAAATATCAACAATCTGGGACCAAGATTAACATGTTTTTGATTTCTGTTGAAGTCATCGAGCTTATCTTTTTCTTCTTTTTATTTCGTACTGGTGCTGACATATATGTGATGGAAAAAGATATATATCAGATACAGTTATTTGTAAATATGTTTTTACTATTTTAAATACATCAGAGGATACGTCTCTACTCACTGTAAAGATATTGCTGTTTGTTTATGATAGAGAAGTATTTTTATTTCATCTTTTTTTTCCACTTTTAAACTCATCTGAGCTATACCATTGCACTTCAGACAATGTCTTACTACTAATTTGTAATGTAAACCTCATCTAATTTTTATTTTGAAAAATAAGGTTTTTTCTAGTTTTAAAATTTTACTCTGTATCTAAAGCAGTGCTTTTTTTTCTTTTTCATGTACAGAATTATGTAAATGGTAATGCCAGAGAGTTACAAAGATTTGTTTTTCAGAAAAAAATACATTAAAGAGATCGATCATTAAAAATGTTCTCATTAAAATATGTCTCTGCAATTAAATTGATAGAACGAAAGAGTATAGCACACGTTTAATCCGTTTATTAAAATATATAAGAAAGAAACTCCAGAAAAAGAGAACAAAGTAAGGCAAAACAAAGTTAACAGAAGATAGAACAACTGCTGTTGAACTGTCTGGGCCAAAGTCAAGGTAGGCATAGGTATATGTATCTATATATATTTATTTAATGAAAACGAGGCAGTAAGGGGCTAAACGGTTCAGTGGGTTGTAGGCAACATTAAAATGGTCTGACAACTGAAATTTACACACGATATGACCATAAGACAATATAAATTGAGTAGACTGTGTATCTATTCCTCACAGTCTCGTTTTCATTTGTGAAAAATTTAATATTGCCTACCGTGAGTTAGTCATTATGGTCAGAAAGTAAATAAAAAATAAATGAAAGAAATAGAAAATGTAGATTGTTGCTTGAATAAAACCCAGGAGGAGAAAATGGCAGAGAGACAGAGGGCGGGTGTCTTTATATCCTAATTAAAGGCACATATGCTAAAGAGCGTTGTTTAATATCTTACTCTAATGAATCACTCCCCTTCTCTTGGTATGTTTCTCTTTTGTGCTGTGCTGCTTTGGCGCGCTATCTTCTGATTATGATGAATGGAGAAGTGTCACTATGACACTGCCATTACTCATCTTCAGGGGTGAGACAACCTCGCTGTGAGAAATGTGAGGGAGAGAGAATGGGGGTGGAGGACGGAGGTTTGTTTGGATGTGCTGCAGAAGAGTACAGATGGGACATAAACACACTGACTGCCCTGTCCCGTGAGGTTTCCTTCTAAATGGGGTTATCTAGTCCCTCAGCACTTCGTTCATTAGTTAAATAAAATCGTCCTTTAATCTGATCTATTAAAAAAGCCAGTGCTGCGAAACAACCAGAAACCATCTGGAAGACTAGAACAAATCAGAAGCAAAGGTGCTTGTGTACGTGTTTTTCCACTTTTTTTCTTCTTCTTCTAAATGTGCATTCATTCAAAACAACACCAGGACATTGCAAGATTGCCAAATATGCAAATTTCTGTTCTCTTTATTATAAGAACTTCGTTAACCCAAAACATATCCATAATCCTAAATATGCTGTTTTATTAAACTGTGCATAATCGTATGTCGAGCTATGTATTGTTCCTCATACCTTTGTTCCTGTAATGGCCACTAGATGGCAGCAAGGCTCTTATTGCAACAGGACGGAGACGAGGCCTTCTCGAAAATGATTGTCTTACAAAGCTGCACGTGATCAACACCTTTACCAACGTACGTGTGTGTGTGTGTGTGTGTGTGTGTGTGTGTGTGTGTGGGGTGTGTGTGGTGGGGGTGTGGGGGGGTGTGCGGGGGTGGGTGTGTGTGTATGGGTGTTTGGGTGTGTGTGTACGTGTGGGGGGGGTGTTTGTGTGTGGGTGTGTG